AGAACAAAACATCCGGCCATGGGAAAACCTGGGTAGCCACAGCCCCTCAAGAGGGGGAAAGGGTTTTTTAGTGCCAGAAGGGAAAAAAACTGGCAGGGAAAAGCAGAAATCGTACACCAATCCATCATTCCTGGATGGAACCCCAGCCATGGCCTCCACTCCAAACCCAAAAGATACAAATAAAGCCGGAAAAAAAAACCCTCCCCGTACCAACAAACCACCATCCGATAACATTCTTTTTTTGCAAATATACGGGGCAAAACCAGCAACAAAAAACAAAATACCTTTCATCCGTGCTGCTTTTCAGAGGGAAAGGGAAGTTCGCGGGTTTCACTGAGATCCACATAAAGGGTCACTTGGGCAACGAAAATGGATCCCAGGTTACAACTATACAGATGGACAGATGAACAGGGAAAAGGGGGGGGGGTTTGGGCCCGTACTTGCAGAGTCCCCTTGTTTGCACAGAACTGCTAAATGCCCCAAATGATGTAGTGGGAAATTTTAGCATAAAGGCGAAACCAAAAACCCGTCATTGTGGGGTCTACAAGCCCTCCGGATCAACATCCCAGCAATTCCAGGAACAGCTGTTAAAAATTGACCACTGTCTGGAAAACCTTCCAGCTCCTGCACCCCAACATCTTGCTCCTGGGGAATTTCAACTTAAGGCACCTAAAATGGAGGAATATAGCAAATAATATTTGTTGCAGTAATAACACCAGGAGCAGCTCTGATGAAAACTCACACTCACGCGAGCTTTTAAATCTCTGCACAAAATTCAATTTAAACCAGCAAATAATAGAGCCTACTAGACTGGAGAATACACTAGACCTCATCTTCACTAACAATGATGATCTGATAAGAAATGTCACCATATCAAAAACAATATACTCAGATCACAACATAATTGAGGTTCAGTCATGTATGCGCGGAGCCCCAGACCGACCATTAATGAGATTAGTCACGAGGGAGCATTCACCAATTCAACTTCAATAACAAAAACATAAAGTGGGACCAAGTAAACCAAGTCCTAACCGATATAAGCTGGGAAGATATACTAAGCAACACAGACCCCAACTTATGCCTAGAACAGATTAACTCGGTGGCACTCGATGTATGCACAAGGCTTATTCCTCTAAGAACAAGGAGGAGTAGATGTAAAACAGAAAGAGACAGGCGCTCCCTTTACAGGCGACGGAAAAGAATAACAGAGCGGCTAAAAGAGGTCAATATATCTGAAATGCGTAGGGAGACACTGGTCAGAGAAATAGAAAGCATCGAACTTAAGCTAAAAGAATCCTTTAGGAGTCAGGAATCGAAAGAAACCCAAAGTATTTCTTCTCCTATGCCAAATCAAAATCGAGAACAACGTCCAGTATTGGGCCCGTACTTAAACAAGATGGGTCCTACAAAGATGACAGCAAGGAAATGAGTGAGCTACTCAAGTCCCAATATGACTCAGTTTTTAGCAAGCCGCTAACCAGACTGAGAGTCGAAGATCAAAATGAATTTTTTATGGGAGAGCCACAGAATTTGGTTAACACAACCCTATCCGATGTTATCTTGACGCCAAATGACTTCGAACAGGCGATAAATGACATGCCCATGCACTCTGCCCCAGGGCCAGACTCATGGAACTCCGTGTTCATCAAGAACTGCAAGAAGCCCCTATCACGAGCCTTTACCATCCTATGGAGAGGGAGCATGGACACGGGGGTCGCCCCCACAGTTACTAAAATCAACAGACATAGCCCCACTCCACAAAGGGGGTAGTAAAGCAACAACAAAGAGCTACGGGACCGATAGCACTAACACCCCCATATCAAAAAAATCTTTAAAAATGGTCCTAAGAAGCAAGATCACCACCCATCTAGACCCCCATCAGTTACACAACCCAGGGCAACAGGGGTTTTAGAACAGGTCGCTCCTGTCTGTCTCAACTTTTGGGAAATCACTACACAAGGTCCTAGATGCACTAGAATACAAAAAGAATGCAGATGTAATATATACAGACTTTGCAAAAGCCTTCGACAAGTGTGACCTGGCGAATAGCGCACAAAATGCGTGCTAAAGGAATAACAGGAAAAGTCGGTCGATGGATCTATAATTTCCTCACTAACAGAACACAGAGAGTAGTAGTCAACAGAGTAAAGTCCGAGGCAGCTACGGTAAAAAGCTCTGTTCCACAAGGCACAGTACTCGCTCCCATCTTTTCCTCATCCTCAAAATCCGACATAGACAAGGATGTCAGCCAGAGCACCGTGTCTTCCTTTGCAGATGACCCCGAATCTGCATGACAGTGTCTTCCATTGCAGACACTGCAAGGCTCCAGGCGGACATCAACCAAATCTTTCAGTGGGCTGCAGAAAACAATAGAAGTTCAACGATGAGAAATTTCAATTACTCAGATATGGTAAACACGAGGAAATTAAATCTTCATCAGAGAAACAAAAAAAATTCTGGCCACAAAATAGAGCGAAACACCAACGTCAAAGACCTGGGAGTGATCATGTGGGAGGATCTCACCTTCAAGGACCATAACATTGTATCAATCGCATCTGCTAGAAAAATGACAGGAGGAAAATGAAAACCTTCAAAACAAGGGGGGCCACCCCATGATGACACTCTTCAGGTCACTTGTTCTATCTAGGCTGGAATATTGCTGCACACTAACCCAAACACCTTTCAAGGCAGGTGAAATTGCTGACCTAGAAAATGTACAGAGAACCTTCACGGCGTGCATAACGGAGATAAAACACCTCAATTACTGGAGCGCTTGAGGTTCCTAAACCTGTTTTCCCCTGGAACGCAGGCGGGAGAGATACATGATTATGTACACCTGGAAAATCCTAGAGGGACTAGTACCGAACTTGCACACGAAAATCACTCACTACGAAAGCAAAAGACTTGGCAGACAATGCAACATCCCCCCAATGAAAAGCAGGGGTGTCACTAGCACGTTAAGAGACCATACAATAAGTGTCAGGGGCCCGAGACTGTTCAACTGCCTCCCAGCTTACATACGGGGGATTACCAACAGACCCCTGGCAGTCTTCAAGCTGGCACTGGACAAGCGCCTAAAGTCGGTTCCTGACCAGCCGGTCTGTGGCTCGTACGTTGGTTTGCGTGCAGCCAGCAGTAACAGCCTGTTTGATCAGGCTCTGATCCACCAGTAGGCCTGGTCACAGACCGGGCCGCGGGGGCGTTGACCCCCGGAACTCTCTCCAGGTAATATCTAGGGAGGTTAGCCTTGGGGAATGATCTGATGATATATCTGTTACAGTGGAAGACTCACGGCTCTCAGAAGTAATGTTGAAGCCCAGGCACATATCAAGGACACCTCCATATATATGTGTGGGTTCAAGGTCACCTACAATTTGCACATTATCACGACTGTTCAAGAGTGACAACAGTTGATTACCCTTACGATTAGCAAACTGAGAGTTTCCAATGCTTTTGTGTCTTGCATTATAATCACCAATAATAAGAGTAGGCTCAGACTGAGCACAAGTTGGGAGCTCCAAGTAATTAAACTTATCAGCAGGAGCATACAAGATAAATATGTTGAGAGCAGAGTTCCCAATATAAATCCTAACACTGTGATACTGTAGCCCCTCTGTTTTCTTATGTGCAAGAAGTTGATGGGGAAGTGATTTTTTAATATATAGAACACAAAAATTAGTAGATTTTAGGTTATGTGCAACAAATGATGGCAATTTAGGGGGTTGGGATTTTTCAGGGACTCTGCACTCTTGTAGACAATATCAATGAATTCAGCCGCCTCAGACTTTACTCTGTTTACTACTATGTGTGTTCTATTTGTTAGGAAATCATAGATCCATCCACCAACTTTTCCTGTTATTCCTTTACCACGCATTTTGTGCGCTATTATACCGTGGTCACTCTTGTCAAAGACTTTCGCAGTCTGTGTATAGTATATCTGTATTTTGTTTATCTTCTAGAGCATCCAGGAAAATCTAAAAAATATATTATTTTTTTTATGTGAATAATTGTTTTTCATTCATATAAAGCGTGAACAAAGGATCTTTTATTTTATTATTATTAAAGATTAGCCGGTATTCTCCCGGCCCGGGCCTTTTCCAAGTGGTGGCCCGGCCTTGGCTCCCTCTTTAGGGACTGTCTGAGACCTAAGTCTCCCATGGGAGGAGGCACAAGTACCTCCTCATCTTTGGGACCAACTGTCTCCAGGTCGTCACAAGCTAGGCCTCTCTGGTCTGTCATCCCCGCCCCAAGGGGGCTAATGGGAATGACAGTCTTGTGAGCTGTAAGCTCAGGCTCAGGCACCTACCCTACCCTAGAAGGGTTAGGCATGGTGTCGATAAGGATCTTTTGAAAACGTTGTTATTTTTATTGGTCTCAGTAAAACAGTAAAAAGAATTAGTGTTTGTTATGCAAACATTGTCTCTCAGCCTTCCTTCTTACCTTGTCATCCCTACACTCTATAAAAAGTTTTCCACCATTTTAGTGTGTTTATGATAAAATACATACTCTTATCGGTGTATATATCCCATGATTAGTTGTTTTACTACCTTATATCTACCTTAGTTTACATCTCGGTATATCAGTTCAGTAACTCCAGGGAAAGTAATTTTTATTACTAAGTTGTTCGATTTCTGTTTGTCTGAACTTCAGTTTAGTTTACTTGGGAAATGTAGGTCTTATATAGACAGAAAGATGTATATCTTACATTATATTTTAATTATGTTTCATAATAACTGTAACAATATATATAACGTTCACTTAATTAACGTTATTATGCGCATACTGCACAAAATTAATTTCAAACCTTGATCAAACGAACACGAATTTTGCGGACAAATTAATATTTATTTTTCACTTGATGATGTCGGAAGCTCCAACTTTACAGTCAATAAAAATCTAATAATTTGAGATAGAAACCATTTCCAAATAATAGAAGAAAGTCTGATAACATTTTTTTTTTTTGACAATTTTATTATTTCATCAACTGTGAAGGCGTGTGAAGCCGAGTCAAGGTTGTGCCTCACACCTCCTCCTCCTCCTCCTCCTCCTCCTTCATCTGCTCGTGTAATCCCGCACGTACCTCCCTCAGTAAGGCATCATATACCTTGCTCCTTATTCCTAAACCTGAGTAAGTACTTGTCATTTATATTTGTAACACTAATTGTGTGTGAAGGCACCATATATATGTAAGGAGGTTCAGGAACATCAGCTTGAAGGAACTTGCTTTTTATGCCGGTGAGGGCTCTTCATCCAAGTATAGTGAGTAAGTTTATTCAGGTATACACAAATACATTTACATAGAGTATCATACATAACAATATATGTGTAGAGAACCTAGGATAACCCAAAAAGGTCAGTGACTTATTTCCATTGGGGTCCTTTGGAAGCCCAAAGAAGTGAAGCTTTCTCTACTTTTCTTGGATCAAAGCTGGTTGCTTCTTATTCTTGCTGCAGCGTGGCTCAGTTGGTAGCGTCCTCAACTCACACTGAAGGACCGGGGGTTATTCTCCGGCACGAATTTTTGTTCAGATTTTTAACTCCGGAGGGTTGGCCACCCAGGATAACCCAGGGTAGGGAGTGTTAGCCACCCAGGATAACCCCGGGGAGGGAGTGTTAGCCACCCAGGAAACCCAGGGTAAAGGGGGTGTTTTGCCACCCAGGATAACCCAGGGTAGGAGTGTTAGCCACCCAGGGTAACCCAGGTAGGGAGTGTTAGCCACCCAGGATAACCCAGGGTAGGGAGTGTTAGCCACCCAGGATAACCCAGGGTAGGGAGTGTTAGCCACCCAGGATAACCCAGGGTAGGGAGTGTTAGCCACCCAGGATAACCCAGGGTAGGGAGTGTTAGCCACCCAGGATAACCCAGGGTAGGGAGTGTTAGCCACCCAGGATAACCCAGGGTAGGGAGTGTTAGCCACCCCGGATAACCAGGGTAGGAGTGGTTTGCCACCCAGGATAACCCAGGGTAGGGAGTGTTAGCCACCCAGGATAACCCCGGGTAGGGAGTGTTACCACCCAGGAAACCCAGGGTAGGGAGTGTTAGCCACCCAGGATAACCCAGGGTAGGGAGTGTTTTGCCCCCCCAGGATAACCCAGGGTAGGGGGTGTTAGCCACCCAGGATAACCCAGGGTAGGGGGTGTTAGCCACCCAGGATAACCCAGGTTAGGGAGTTTTTAGCCCCCCAGGATAACCCAGGGTAGGGAGTGTTAGCCACCCAGGATAACCCAGGGTAGGGAGTGTTAGCCACCCAGGATAACCCAGGGTAGGGAGTGTTAGCCGCCCAGGATAACCCAGGGTAGGGAGTGTTAGCCGCCCAGGATAACCCAGGGTAGGGAGTGGTTAGCCGCCCAGGATAACCCAGGGTAGGGAGGGTTTTGCCGCCCAGGATAACCCAGGGTAGGGAGGGTTTAGCCGCCCAGGATAAAACCCCGGGTAGGGAGGTTAGCCGCCCAGGATAACCCAGGGTAGGGAGGGTTAGCCGCCCAGGATAACCCAGGGTAGGGAGGGTTAGCCGCCCAGGATAACCCAGGGTAGGGAGGGTTAGCCGCCCAGGATAACCCAGGGTAGGGAGGGTTAGCCGCCCCGGATAAACCCAGGGTAGGGAGGGTTAGCCGCCCAGGATAACCCAGGGTAGGGAGGGTTAGCCGCCCAGGATAACCCAGGGTAGGGAGGGTTAGCCGCCCAGGATAACCCAGGGTAGGGAGGGTTAGCCGCCCAGGATAACCCAGGGTAGGGAGGGGTTTGGGCCCCCCAGGATAACCCAGGGTAGGGAGGGTTAGCCGCCCAGGGTAGGGAGGGTTAGCCGCCCAGGGTAGGGAGGGTTAGCCACCCAGGATAACCCAGGGTAGGGAGGGTTAGCCACCCAGGATAACCCAGGGTAGGGAGGGTTAGCCGCCCAGGATAACCCAGGGTAGGGAGGGTTAGCCGCCCAGGATAACCCAGGGTAGGGAGGGTTAGCCGCCCAGGGTAGGGAGGGTTAGCCGCCCAGGGTAGGGAGGGTTAGCCGCCCAGGGTAGGGAGGGTTAGCCGCCCAGGGTAGGGAGGGTTAGCCGCCCAGGGTAGGGAGGGTTAGCCGCCCAGGGTAGGGAGGGTTAGCCGCCCAGGGTAGGGAGGGTTAGCCGCCCAGGTAGGGAGGGTTAGCCGCCCAGGGTAGGGAGGGTTAGCCGCCCAGGGTAGGGAGGGTTAGCCGCCCAGGGTAGGGAGGGTTAGCCGCCCAGGGTAGGGAGGGTTAGCCGCCCAGGGTAGGGAGGGTTAGCCGCCCAGGGTAGGGAGGGTTAGCCGCCCAGGGTAGGGAGGGTTAGCCGCCCAGGGTAGGAGGGTTAGCCGCCCAGGGTAGGGAGGGTTAGCCGCCCAGGGTAGGGAGGGTTACCCCGCCCAGGGTAGGGAGGGTTAGCCGCCCAGGGTAGGGAGGGTTAGCCGCCCAGGGTAGGGAGGGTTAGCCGCCCAGGGTAGGGAGGGTTAGCCGCCCAGGTAGGGAGGGTTAGCCGCCCAGGGTAGGGAGGGTTAGCCGCCCAGGGTAGGGAGGGTTAGCCGCCCAGGGTAGGGAGGGTTAGCCGCCCAGGGTAGGGAGGGTTAGCCGCCCAGGGTAGGGAGGGTTAGCCACCCAGGATAACCCAGGGAAGGGAGGCTTAGCCACCCAGGGGAGGGAGGCTTAGCCACCCAGGAGAGGGAGGGTTACCCACCCAGGGTAACCCAAGAAAGTCAATGCATCATTCAGGATTGTCTTGTTTCCATTGGGGTCCTTCAATCTTGTCCCCTAGGATATGACCCACACCAGTCGACTAATACCCAGGTACCTACTTAATGCTAGGTGAACAAGGACAGCAGGTGTACAGAAACCTGTCTAATGTTCCCATCTGTGCTGGGGATTGAACCACTGACTGTGTGCGAGGTGAGTGCATTGCCAACCGAGCCACGTAGGACCTGTTTACTTACACCTACTGCCCTTTTTCACCTTGTGCAGTACAAATGTAGTTTACATGTAACAAAGCCTTGGTAGACACAAAAGAAAGCCACTAATTATGCAATGAATTTCAGACAAACTTATCATACGGCTTAAGTTTGAAAAGATTTTTAACCTGTGATCACTTTGACTCTTTGGGTTATCCTAGGTAATTTACACATTACTTACGTATGATAGTTTCTGTAACTACTTGTGTACCTGTATCTATATAAACTTACTTTGGGTTACTTAAGAAGTAGACATAGACCATGGCGTAATAGCGCACAAAATGTGTGCTAAAGGAATAACAGGACAAGTTGGTAGATGGATTTGTAATTTCTTAACAAATAGAACAGTAGTAGTAAGCAGAGTGAAGTCTGAGGTGGCTACAGTGAAAAGTTGTTCCGCAAGGCACAGTAATCGCACTAATCTTGTTCCTCATATCAGACAGACAGGGATATAAGCCACAGTGCCGTGCCTTCCTTTGCAGATGACGCCCGAATCTGCATGAGTGTCTTCCATTGAAGACACTGCAAGGCTCCAGGCGGACATCAACCAAATCTTTCAGTGGGGTGCAGAAAACAATATGAAGTTCAGTAATGAGAAATTTCAATTACTCCAATATGGTAAATGTGAGGAAAGTAAAACTTCATCAGAGTATGAAACAAATTCCAACCACACAATAGAGTAAAAAACTAGCATCAAAGACCTGGGAGTGATCATGTTGGAGGATCTCGCCTTCAAGGACCATAACATTGTATCGGTTGCATCTAGAAAAATGAGAGGATGGATAATGAGACCCTTCAAAACTAGGGATGCCAAGCCCATGATACTCTTCAGGTTGCTTGTTCTACCTAGGCTGGAATCTCTCTATTATGTAATAGTCCCTCTTGGGCACATTAAATGTCTTATTTTACGTCAATAAAGACATTTTCATTAATCCATCTGATATTTTCTTCAAAATTATACAAGAAATTCGTTACATAGCATATAAACGTTGTTTATATACGTACTATGGAGGTGTGATAGCTGGGTGGAGAGAAAACATTACATCATTACCCTTAATACATAATGCTTTTGTTTACAGTTCTCAGCATGTATTATTCATTACTTATCCCTTTACCTGGAGTTACCTGGAGTTCCGGGGGTCAACGCCCCCGCGGCCTGGTCTGTGACCAGGCCTCCTGGTGGATCAGAGCCTGATCAACCAGGCTGTTACTGCTGGCTGCATGCAAACCAACGTACGAGCCACAGCCCGGTTGGTCAGGAACCGACTTTAGGTGCTTGTCCAGTGCCAGCTTGAAGACTGCCAGGGGTCTGTTGGTAATCCCCCTTATGTATGCTGGGAGGCAGTTGAACAGTCTCAGGCCCCCTGACACTTACTGTATGGTCTCTTAACGTGCTAGTGACACCCCTGCTTTTCATTGGGGGGATGTTGCATCGTCTGCCAAGTCTTTTGCTTTCGTAGTGAGTGATTTTCGTGTGCAAGTTCGGTACTAGTCCCTCTAGGATTTTCCAGGTGTATATAATCATGTATCTCTCCCGCCTGCATTCCAGGGAATACAGGTTTAGGAACCTCAAGTGCTCCCAGTAATTGAGGTGTTTTATCTCCGTTATGCGTGCCATGAAGGTTCTCTGTACATTTTCTAGGTCAGCAATTTCACCTGTCTTGAAAGGTGCTGTTAGTGAGCAGCAATATTCCAGCCTAGATAGAACAAGTGACCTGACTTGTGTCATCATGGGCTTGGCCTCTCTAGTTTTGAAGGTTCTCATTATCCATCCTGTCATTTTTCTAGCAGATGCGATTGATACAATGTTATGGTCCTTGAAGGTGAGATCCTCCGACATAATCACTCCCAGGTTTTTGACGTTGGTGATTCGCTCTATTTTGTGGCCAGAATTTGTTTTGTACTCTGATGAAGATTTAATTTCCTCGTGTTTACCATATCTGAGTAATTGAAATTTCTCATCGTTGAACTTCATATTGTTTTCTGCAGCCCACTGAAAGATTTGGTTGATGTCTGCCTGGAGCCTTGCAGTGTCTGCAATGGAAGACACTGTCATGCAGATTCGGGTGTCATCTGCAAAGGAAGACACTGTGCTGTGGCTGACATCCTTGTCTGTCAGATATGAGGATGAGGAACAAGATGGGAGCGAGTACTGTGCCTTGTGGAACAGAGCTTTT